TGCGACAAGAGGTGAAACTTGGATATATTGTTACATTCCGAAAAGAAAGTAACAGTTTTCTGTATGGGTGTTTGAAGGCGACAGCAGACCAAAAAATTAAGGCAGACAAGAAGCGTGGACAAAAACACTCGAATGATTGCGTTTTTTTTCTCCCAGACAAGTTCTGCCAAACACTCAAACACTCCTAATTCTGAATGGTACATCACCATTTTTTTTAAAGTTAAGGAACAACGATCAAGATCAAGTCGCAACCTATTGCGCCATGACAATGCTTCAACGCACATTGTGTACAAAACAGTAATTTTTGGCTTCTGAAAAGGTAGAGAGCTCGTGTCACACTGTACCGTGCGATTCCTTTGTTTTCCCAAAAATCAAGGATTTGATTACAGGTTTGACATTTACGTAGCCAGAACGTGATAGTTTGCAACTAGCAAAAAAATATGCCTTCAGACCAATGGTCCTTACAGTTGAATAATTTTAAATTTTAAATTTTGTACTGCCTACTTCCTACTTTTTTTCTTCTTTGCCTACAAAGTAAGAGTAAGAATAACTCAAAAACTATTGGTCTGACCTTGAAATTATATGGAATCACACGAGAAGTACCAGCATTCAAATAAAAAAAGAATCATAGAAATCGGTTCACCCAGTAAAAAGTTATGAGGTAACACACAATAAAAACCTACATTCGGATTGAGTACTGTGTCCTTTTTGGAAGCCGGCAGAAAAATGGTTTGATCGAATGAAAAAGTATTTAAAATGTAATGAAGAATACTTTGTACAGCATAGATTTATAAGTTTACATATAAAGTGTTTTATTTATGAGTTGCGCAAACCTTTCAGTGATAGTAGGTTCGTCTCAATACAATAATCTTACAAAGTTTTATTTATAACATAAAAGTACGAAGTGGGTTATGAAAAAAAATTTCATCGATGGAAATTGCAGTCAAGAGGTACATGACTCAAAATTGTATAATACTACGAATAACAAATCTTAAAATTTATTTCAGTACATTAAGGCTAAGATTCGCCTGTCTGCTATCTGCTTCATCCACAAAAGCAAGGGCGCCGCTGAGACGACGATCGATCTCTTTAGTCTTACGTTTTCAGGGTGTTTTCTCTCTCACGTTTTTAATTCTGTCGGGAATTAAAAAGTTACATTAAACGCGAAAACATCCGTAACATCCGTAAAAATTAGTTTCATTTAATGTGTAGTCTTCGCGTAAATATAAGAAATCATTATGGTTTCTCTCCCTTCAGTCATATAATTAAATCCCGGCGTTTTATAAAAGAATTTATTTAAATTGCTCCTTTTTGATATAACGTTTGTACTCAACGTAAAGCTCCATATCATTCAACTAAACCAATGGTATTGAAAAGTAGTCTTTGAAATTTTTCGTCATAAAAAGTCATTCATGGAAGAAAACCTGTCAAAAATAATTTCTTATCTAACTAATTTTTAATGGTTTTTAACACTCGCATTATATAAAAAATTTAGCTTTCTCCATCCCCTTTCCAAATAAAATTGAACTATGCCAAACCGTTCAACAAGCATATTGACATTATTATAAAAGGGGTACAGTTTTTCCTTCAATTATTAATATTAATATATAGACATAACGAAAACTAATTATCCCAAAAATGAGACTTAGCTAGATCGATTTTTCGCCCTCGTAAACACTTATAATGGTAAATTTCGACGAAATCGCAAGAGGCGTTTTTTGGATCGCTGTTACAAACAAATATAGGTATAGTGCTTGTATAATAAATAATAGTATAGGATTCTAATGTTTAGATCAGACTTTGAAATAGTGGTTTCAGGTGCTTGCAGGTGTATAATAAATTATTATGTAATAGACAAAAGGTGGTCTCTGCTTATCTAGAAAATAGATATTGTTTGCATATTATCAGAAACTGGTCCAGCGTCAAAATCAACAAAATTGTCCTTCAAGAAAACAGCTTTCTTAAAAAAACTACACTTTTGTCTTTTGCTAAGAGATTGCATCGCTTACGTAGGCTAAACCAAACTAATGAAGGATATTATAATTACTATACTAAAGTACTTAGTAATTATTAAAATTATTGTATTATAAATTCGTCTAACTTATACATCTCTTGGTAAGCAACGTATTTCTTAACTAAAATTAAGCAAATGGAGTGAAGTTAGAAAATTGGTAACGGTTATACAAGATGGTAGAAAATAAAGAGATATACAGAAATTAGTGTAGATCTCGAAATCGATAAAAAAGGCACAGGGGACTAATTGGGTCAGTATTTTACGAGACACTAAACGAGGACGGCGAAGACGATGTTACTTTCTGTGTGCAATGAGTGTTTTATAACGTAAAGTCATAACCGAGAAATATTTATTTATTTATTTGGGTAATTTTGAGTGTTATTACTAACAAAAGCAAACTACGATGTACCTAATCTAGACACGACAGTGTGTCAGCAAATTTCAGATAAGAAAAGATAATAAGAGGATTGAAAATGTTTCGGAAATTAATAATATCGCAAGACGTTGCAAGAACGTTGTACATTCTCATAGATCCTATGATTTAATCAACTATTAGGGAGCTTGGTTGTGTTGAAATTTAAACTCTTTTATCGGCGATACCAACCAATGTGAACGTCAATTGCACCGAACTTGGTCCCATTTTCAAATTTGTTTCTAGTGTGATCTTGTGTTGTCTTTCGCTTCGAAATTGTTTAAAAGCAACTAGTACTAAGTAACAAGATTGGGTACATGCCCACTCTTAACCCTGAAAAGCGCAATAGAGTAACGGACAGATCTGTCTGGCAAGAAGTGTGGCAGTATATTTTATGTTTGTCTACAACGATTTATTTTAATATCGAGTATCCAGTAAGCCAGCATATAAAATTGTAAGAAATAATTTCAGCAGTTGAGCAGTTGAACTTCTTGTACGACATCGAATAATTTAAGATGAACAGACGATAAGCCTACAGCAATACAAGATGGTAAGCGATAAGGAAACTATGTAGCGCAACATGCTCAAGCATGTGCAAGCATGGACGAATTTTTTTCACACTTTTTGACAAAGAATCGTACGGAAACAAGAAAATCATTTATCAAAATAGCCTTATTGTCTTACTTAAATCATAAACGAGTAAACTGCAACGATGATAGTACTTTGTGCCGCCGTACCAGAGCCATCGCACCTACATGTATATCGCAGTGTTATTGGAATATGTTGGCCTAGAAGTTATTCGCCGTCCTCTGCACTTAAGGTAATAGATGAGATGATGGACTCTCTTACGCCCTACCAAATAGTATTACAATACGTTTAATGCAACACGAATATTTAGGCGATGTCTTCATTATTAAGTGTTTACATGCGGATGTAAGTGATTTATGATTTTGCGAGAATATTTGTTATTTAATTATTTGTTAAATGTTAACAATGTACAGTAAGGAGAGATAGTGTTTCCATCTAAACTGTATTCTATGTAAAATAGGTAAAAACTGGTTGCATGGATTAATTAATACGTAAGTGGCGGCGTAAAAATATCCACTACACCATATCATCCCATGGCTCGTAAGAGGCGACCGAGGGAAGTAAAACAGGAAATGTGCAGCAGCATCTTCCAGATAACAAAATAATAATAAAAACTGACGTTGCAAACCCGCTTGGCAACTATAACAAATATCAAATCTAGCATCTATGAGACGACCATTGTTCACCAGTGGTCTTTTGATAGGCTGTAAACTGTAATGGATATAATGGATGGATGGAAATTATAGCAGGTCAAATAATTGCCCCGATTTAGTCGGCTGTAATCCGAAACCTACAACTAAAAAAAAATGAATTCAAACATATTCCACTTTTGCATTCGATTGAAAGAAATTATTTCCGCACAAAACCAACACTTACTAACCCTATCCGCCTCGTGCGATGAGCCAGACGAGACGAGTTATGATAACAATCGTCAAAGAGCTCCTAAATTTAGCGTCGACGTGCAAAGTTATTAGAACAATAATTGAATAAAACTCTCGCGCCCTTGAGGGTTTATTGTGGGAATTATTTTCATTACATTAAACAAATGTTTCAATTAAAAAGTCTAGCCCAATTAGGATGAATTTCACATATAAATCGCAATTTTAAAGTCGTGAGATCGTGGTGATCATGATATGAAATCAATGTTTACAATAACGCGCTCATCACAAAATGTTTTAATACGTTGTTGAAATCTAACAAAAAATCGAAAAAGTCTAATGCAACTTGCATTAGAGTTTGTTCAAATAAGGATAAGATACGGTTAGCTATTAATTAATAATAATCTATAATTCGAACAAAAACATTCAAATACTAGCTGGCTATTTATAGCGTAAAAGTTAAATAGAGAGTGTAGAATACTTTTATTTTCTTAACATCTTGATTTTAATGAGACAAAACGTCAAATAAAACTAATGAGCCATGTTTTGTTTTACAAAGTCTACTTATTATATAAGCTTTAGATAAAAACGTGTTAGCACAGGAAATTATTTCCTCTTTATCAATACAATATTTTATTTTATCTGATCTGATGTATATGTTAAAAATATAAAACTCTGATCCTAGATGAGACGAGAGGTTTAAGTCAAAAATCACATTGTAACAATATTAGCAAAAACAATGAATGCAATGAAAAGATTTGAAATTAGATTTCACAAGAGAAATATTAGCGGATAATCAATAACCACTCAGCACGCGGGGTCATACTCGAAGCTCCGCCACCCCGGCCGTTGACCGTTGGGGCGCGACAATTTCGACCTTGGATCAAGATGTCTCAATACTTCGATTGGCATCATGATGCTGGATACCTCGCTTTCAGGTTATTACAACTCGCACGTAAACCACAAATACTTCCAAAGCTCGTAGACATTACGCACGTTATACGTAACGGTGCAAATGGCGTGACCAATTGATTTATGAGCGCGAGTAGGAAACAAAAAACAACGGGAGTGATTCGTTATGATAAACATGTGGGTAGGTTGTACGGACCGCACGGGACGAAGGTTCGGAAGCGGTGGTTGTGTCGGTTGCGGGGCCGCGGCGGGGGCTGGTCGCGCTTCACGATCTTGCCGAGCAGGCCGAGCAGCGAGCGGCGCAGCGGGCGCGGCTGCACGCGCGCCTCGCCGCCGTCCGCGCCGAGCACCTCCAGCTCCACGGCGTCGGAGCGCGCGCACATCCGCGCCGCTACCGCACCATGCCGCGCCCCGCCCAGCCCGCGTGCGCGCTCCGCCACGGTGCCACACGCGCGCTCCGGCCCGCCGCGGGGCCGATACTCGCGTCTCGCGCCCGATACACACTAGCGCCGCACCATACGACACGACGGACTAGACGGCGCGCGCATCACTACTACGAGTACGACGATGCCGTTGTACTTGTATTGTATCTCCGCTGATCCGCTGCTGCTCTGTGTTTACTGTTACCTACGTCAAACTTCACGCGGCTTATCTTTATCTTCCAAATGAAACACAATACACTACGTAAACCTCCGTCTATCATGTACACGTATTAAAGACATAATAAAATCACTAAAAAGCATAATATTGTATAATGGAGGAAAACCTCCAGCGGACTGATGTAGCCTCACGTTTAATGTTTACTTCACACAGACTGTATTGTAGATGCGCAGTAAGGTCTGTCTAAATACTCTTTTATGGAATCACATCCATAAAAAGGAAAACATTCGATTTCAGCCCTAGAGAGTCGTCTTTATTTATTTTGTTAATATTTAAAACATAATGGGAACGGAGCTTTAAAAATAATATAAGAATTGAGAATTAGTAACTTTCTCCACGTTCACATACGAGGGTGCGTTTTTAAGTTCGCGGAATGGGGGGTAAAGAGTGGAAAAAAGTTGAAGTTACAGCCTAATACGTCCCACTGCTGGGCACAGGCCTCCCCTCATCTCTGAGAGGGTTTTAAGGCAAGGAAGTGTCCGCCCCAATCCGTGTTGGCGAACTTCACATGTCTTCGAAATATTTTTTTTCTTATTCCTCAGGCATGCAGGTTTCCATTTCATTGGTGCCGGCGGGGATCGAACCCGGGTTGCTCGCGTACTGTGAAATTTACAGCGAGCGCTAACCATCTGAGCTACCACGGCTTAGAGCAGTGGAAATAAAAATCCAAATTTATTTTTCCTTTTCAATATATTCATCTGCCACCCTAATACATTTTTCGGATCTTTCAATTAACTTATGTATACCCTCAAAAAAAATTATTGTCTTTATCTAAAAAAATACGCCGAATCTGCTTCCTTTACTTCTTCATCACTTAAAAACTTTTTCCCACGAAGTTCTTTTTTTAAGTTTGAAAATAAATAATAATCACTGGGGGCCAGGTCAGGACTATAGAGTGGGTGTGGCAAAATTTCGAAGCCCACCTTCTGCAGGGCAGCCATCGCAACATGGCACTTGTGAACAGGCACGTTGTCGTGCAGAAGGATTCCTTTGGTCAATTTTACCCTTCTTTTCTCCTTTATGGCTTCCTTCAATTGTTCTAGGATAGAAGCGTAGTAATTTCCGGTTATGGAGACACCTTTATATTTAAAAATCAATCAATAGGATTCTTTCTGAGTCCCAAAAGACTGTCGCCATGATTTTCCCAGCCGATTGTGCCATCTTAAATTTCTTAGGTTAGGCCTTTTTTGCGCTACTGCATAGAGTCCTGTTTGGACTCAGGTAACGAGTAATATGGTGAACCCAAGTTTCGTCACCAGTAACAATTCGAGCCAACACTCCATCTTTGTCTTCCATAAAGACGTCCAAAAATGCACGAGAACACTCCACGCGCTATTGCTTTTGAGGCGGCGTGAGCATTCTAGGCACCCATCTTGCGCTGACTTTAGTCATGCCAAGATTGGTCATGAAGAATTTTGAAAATGCTTGTATCTGATACTCCAACCATTTTTTTGAGCTGTTTTCTTTAGGCAGGCATCTGCTAATATTAATTTTTCTACTTTTTGAATGGTCACCTCGATCGGCCTTCCTGGCCGTGGGTCATCTTCAAGTGACTCTCTGCCTTGTTTAAAAAGGGTATGCCACTTGTAAACCATAGTTTTACTTGGACAAGAGTCTCCTTAAACAGATGACATCTCTTCCAGTATAATCTGAACAGATTTTCCGCGCTTGGTAAAGAACTTTATAACGGCAAGGAACTCAATTTTCTCTATATTTCACAATTTTTTCCCGATTGACTTGTTTGGCCGACAATAACTCAAAGACTAATTATCTAATTACAATAAAACCCGGTATTTATACTAATAATGAGTTGTTCAATTAGCACGTAATTCAGCGACGTCCACACTTATTACCTACCTACCCATTCCGCGAACTTAAAAACGCACCCTCGTAGCAAGCAATATACGAACACCTTATGTTGACGATATTTTCAATTAATTGTATTAAGAACATCACAATAATTGCAACAGTAAGTCTATACTTATGAAATTATAGGTAGTTCATCGACTCCTTTGCTGAAAAAATTATGTGAGCGAAAATCAATAAAATCTTTGAAGGCGGTTTTGACTGCCTCATCAGAATTTAATTTTTTTCTTTGCAAGAAATTGTCCGAATTCCGTAAAAGGTGTTAATCTGTTGGAGCGAGCACCGGGGAGTATGTTGGATGTCGGAGACACTCCAATCACAGCTCCCCTAATTCAGCGACCGTCTGTTGTGCAGTATGTGGTCTAGCGTTGGCCTGAAGCAGCAGTGGGCTAGAACAGTACCAGTCTCGGTTAACGCCTAGCTTTTGAAACATGGTTTGGATTTTAGGAGGCTGTAGTGGAAGACACCAGCACTGGTCCACCCGACACTTACCACTACCTTTTTGTGAGTCGACTTTCGCTTTGGGTAGGATTTCATGTGTTCTCCTGTGTTCAACCATTGTGATGAGAGTTTCCGATTATCGTACAGGATTCAATTTTCATCATAAATAACAATACGATTCATAATTTCCTCGGTATTGTGACGGTTAAGGGATGTAACGCAGCACTCGACGCGTATTTGTTAGTGTGTTTCACTCAATTCATGCGATACCCGTTTTTTGAGGTTTTTCACTTTTCCTGTTTGTTTTAAGTAAAACATAAACCTTTTCAGTTAAACAGTAGGTGAGCAGCAGCGTGTTCCTGATAATAGCTCAAAATAATTAAAAAATGCGTCCCAACAGATCTGCTAGCGTGGTAACTATGACAACTATCTACCCTATGAATCATTCTTTCTAGGAGGCCTTTGGTGGACTTTGGTACGCTCTAATAATGATAATGTCAGACTTTATTTTTTACTTTTTTGAATAGAAGAAAACTAACGATCATGCGGCTCACCTGATAGTTAGTGTCGACCGCCACCCATGAACAACTTCAACACGAGGGGAAGTGCAGGTGCATTGCCGTCCTTTAAAAAAAAGTAGGCACTTTTCTTGAAGGCCCCTAACTCGTATTGGTCCGAATCGCAGGTGATAATCCATTCCACAAGGAAGTTGTGCGAGGAAGGAAATTTCTTGTAAATCAAACAGTGGTGGACCGCCAATCATACCGATGTTATGGATGGTATCGAAAACTTTGTCACGATGTGCAGTGGTGAAATTGAGCGGCTGGAATTTGTCCGAATAATTCCTCGGGCACTCCCCGTGGTAGATGCGATAAAATACGCAAAGAGATGCAACATCTCTTCGCAGTGCCAGTAAGTCTAACCGATCAGAAAGAGCTCGGTCGCGGACGATTTGAACCGCTCTGTGCTGAATGCGATCAAATGGAAGGAGCTGGCACTGGGGAGCCCGAGCCAAGAGATAGGAACAGTATTCCATGTGAGGCCGAATCTGCGCCTTGTAAAGTTGCAGGCGGTGTGCCGGCATGAAATACTGTCCCGCTCCGCTGATGCTAAAATCGCCAAGCTTTTTAGAGGCAAATTTGGTCTTCTCCTCCAAGTGACCATAAAACTGCACGTTATTCGATAGTTGGATGTTTTGTCACGATGTGCGATGGTGAAATTGAGCGGCTGGAATTAGTCTGAACAATTCCTCAGAGCACTCCCCGTGGTAGATGCGATAAAATGCGCAAAGAGATGCAACATCTCTTCGCAGTGCCAGTGAGTCAAGCCGATCAGGAAGAGCTCAGTCACCGATAATTTGAACCAAAACCATTTGCAGGCGGTGTGCCGGCATGAAATTTTCCACAAGGCTGTGTGCTATCACCAACACTGTTTCTTCTGCATATCAATGATGTTGCTAACTGGTAACATTCATTGCTATGCGGATGACAGCACTGGTGATGCTCTATACACCGGCCGTGCCAATATTTCTCGGGAAAACGTCGCCGAGTACCGGAACAAACTTGTGTCTAAAGTCGAGTCTTTGCTGAACAAAGTCTCGGATTGGGGGCGACTAAATCTAGTCCAGTTTAATCCTCAGAAGACACCGCTAAAAAGAACCCCTTTGTCGTATCTCCTCAGTTTTAAGGCACTCCCCTTGTTGCCTCAGCCAGTATCGGTATCCTCGGAGTCGACATATCGAGTGACGTGCAGTTTCGTGGTCACTTGGAAGAGAAGGCCAAATTGGCCTCTAAAAAGCTTGGCGTGCTCTACTTGGCAACTTTACAAGGCGCAGATTCAGCCTCACATGGAATACTGTTCCCATCTCTGGGCAGGGGCTCCCCAGTGCCAGCTCCTTCCACTTGACCGCATCCAGCGCAGAGCGGCTCGAATCGTCGACGACCGAGCCCTTTCCGATCGGCTCGATTCATTGGCACTGCGAAGAGATGTTGCATCCCTTTGCATTTTCTTTCGCATCTACCATGGGGAGTGCTCTGAGGAATTGTTCGGATTAATCCCAGCCGCCAAATTTCACGAACGCACATCGCGGCAGAACTCCCGATACTATCCACACCATCTGGATGATTGGCGGTCCACCACTGTGCGATTTAGAAGATGTTTTCTTTCTCGCACGACTTCCTTGTGGAATCGATTACCATCAGCGATTTTTCCGGACTGATACGACTTAGGGACCTTCAAGAAAAGAGCGTACTCCTTTTTAAAAGGCCGGCAACGCATCTGCAATTCCCTCCCTGGTGTTGCAGTTGTTCATGGGCGGCGGTAGTCACTTACCATCAGGTGAGCCGCATGCGTTTTCGTTTACCCCCTCTCCTATAAAAAAAAATAATGTCCCGCTCTGCTGCTGTTGAGCCCGCCA